TGTAAAAGATGAAGGCCATAAAAATGATATTTTTGTGTTAATATTAAAACTAAAAAACAGTTGATGCTTGGATGATGTATGAAATATAATGTTTATTTGTTTTAAACCATCACAAAATCATACATTCTAAAAAGCAACTAATATGTGCTTTCTTTCTTTAAGTGGAAAAATTTGCCTGACCAATTAAATATTTTGTAACAGAGTAAAAGTTACACAAATGAGAGATTAGTTAGAGATGTCACTTGATTTGATTTCTTTAAGACTTATATTTTCCTCTACTCTAAGGAACACTGCTATAGGTCATGAGACATTTACCAAATATTTCAAGTATTACTGTTTATTAAAATTTTCCTTCTTTGTGAAAAAGAAATATGCTCTAAATGTAAGCATATATGTAGACATATATGTATATATTAGCATAGACAAAAGAATAGAAGAATAAGAGCAAACATTAAGTATAGGATATTGTAATTAAAATCAGTATATATTTTCTACATCATTATTGGTTTAGAATTATTATACTAAGTATATATATTAATTATTATACTAAGTATTATACTAAGTATAGAATTATTATACTAAGTATACACATTTCTGAGTAATATATAAAATTACTAAGTAATTTTATATATTAAAATATTCTACTAGTATATAAAATAAATTTAATAAAATCAGAATTGTATATTTACTTTATCTTGCCCACCTCCCCATTTTATCATTTAAAATATTTTTCATAACAAAATAAAAATAATATGAAACAAAAACAAATGAGAAATAACATAAATGTCCATCAAACAATGTTAGTTAAATAAATTATAGAAAACTTTACAATGGAATATACTTTCTCATTAAAAAGGAATAAGCTGTATTTATGTGTTGATATGAAAATAAAAATATATTTTAATTTATAAAAATAAAGTGCAGATGAGTGCATATTACTCTAATTGTAGAGCTACTTGCATAATTATGTATTTATGTTTATTTACATAAAACATAATTTTAAAATATGCACATATACCTATAACTCTATCTCCTGGAAAAATCTTTAAGAAATTACCTATGATGGTTTGGTAGTGAAACTGAGTATCCACTTTCTGTAATGTTTGATTCTTTTTATACCATGTTAAAAATAAGAAAAAAAAGTATAATCATCCTAACAAAGGAAAAACAGCACTTGGGTATTATTAATTAAATTAAAATCATTGTAAAATAGGATTTTTTGCCTAACTGGAAATATTTTATAAAATATATTTTGAAATATATCTAGGATAATAATTTAAAATATCATATAAAACATTTTCAGGGAGATTTTAAGTGGCACATTGATAATTTTACTATGAATGTATAAAGATCAAACCTTTATGTATTGTAATCACATTGTTAAGTAATTTGGAAATTTCAAAAACCCCTTCTTTGCTCTTCAAATCTTATGAAAATTGTTCTATTCTTCACAAGATATTTACAAAATGATATTTTAAAAACTCTAGACTATGTGGGGCTTCTCAAGAAATATCAGTAAAAAGGTTGCAATTACACACTCTGTTTAACACATTCATGCATTCTCTTAAACTTGTAATTGTATATTTTATTTCTCCTTATTAGATTACACTTTCACTATTTTGCAAGACTTACAAAAATTATGAATCTACCTATACATTTTTCCTCGTGGTTCAATTAATGTGGTTTTTGAAGAATGACCATACAATAGTATAGAATGTAAGAGTGTCTTCAAGTTTTGCGATTGATGGCTTCATTCTTAAAGATTAAGAAAAACCACCCTAAAATTAAATGGGTGTTTAAAGTTAGTAAGGCATCATAATTTTCAGAGAGGAAATAGTTCAAATAATAAAGCCTAACCGAAAACTACATAAGTGATGGTCATTGTGTTCAAGAATATTGCTTTCCAAATTACTTAAACTTTCTATTTGTGATTGTGGTACTTGGAAGGACCTTTGCATTTTAACACTGTGATTATGCCCACCCTAAAATGTGTGTCCTGAGTGCTCTAACCTTTCGTGAGAGCCAACAGATTCCAGTAATCAACAGAGGATATGAAATTCTTTAAACTGCTTTGCTAATAAACTGTATTAACCATCGGTTTCAGAGAGAGAAGTCAAAGGAGATGTAAAACAGATACTTAACAGATCTTTGGGGAGTTTGCCCTCGCTTTCATATCACAGAAATCATCTTTGTTTCATCAGTGTTCGTACTTCCTTATTTTCTTTTAGAGTTCCAGTAGCTTTGTAGAGCAAACACACTATATTCAAATGCTACATCACATGTATTACTGCATTAATTTCAATAACTCCATAAATGAAATACTCTTTCACACACATCATGTGTACAAATTTCCATCCCATTTGAAAGGTAACAGGCTACTCTAGAGTTACTTTTTATATCCTTTGCCACAGTTTAGAACTCAATTCCTTGACACTTTAAGGGGAATATGTAGATGTATGAGAAGGAAGGCAGTGAGATTAAGTTCTTTCTAGAGAATTCAAAATCAGTCTGGTCAAAAATACCTAAAACATAGTCATCAAAAGAAAATATACCATTCCTTTCACCAGTTGTCAGCAGTTTTTTCCATTTAAAATATAAATGCTTAGGAACTAGTGAAGTATCTTTTATGTTTATAATAGTTATAAAATGTGAATGGGACAAAACATGAAAGAAGAGTCTTATTAAATTACTAAGGACCTGCAATTTTATGTTTAAAATATTTGTAAAGCCAATGCAAATTCATTGTTGGTGACTGTATATAATTCTACCTGGATTCTCACTTATTGAAAATATGCTATTTCAACCAGGCTTCTTATTTCATGTTTTGCTTCTGTTATTGAATCAAGAAATATAAACCAAAATCTCAGAAACAAAAGTACTGATTCAGAATAATTTTAAATTTCCTCATTGGTTTTCCAGTAGGGAGTACTTATTTCAGAGTATTTGTTTTTAAATCTTAATCAGCTATTACTGGAGAGAGTGTGTGTGTATGTGTGTGTGTGTATTCAGGATTGGAAAGTGATCTCCTTAAGTTTTTCTCAGAATCAGGTGATACTCAACACTAAAAGGTTGAGTTCTCAACACAGTTCACTGTAAAGTTAACTCTTAAGATGTATCCTTTTTTAAGAGCCAAATTGTAATTACTAGGAATGTTTTTAACTTAAAAATATAACAATTACTTCTTACTCTTCGAATTCATATGTATTATCTTATTTTGTTGAAACTTCCTGTCAAACACCAAGAGAATTAGTGTTGAACAGCCATGATCTAATTATAAAAATGAAATTTATTGTGTGCAGAATAATACAATACAAGAAACTATCTCAAGGTTTAAACAGGAAATGATAAATTTTGCAGGAAATTATCTCAATAACAAAACAAAACAAAACAAAATAAAAACACCTTAGCCAAATCTTATCACAGTATAAGAAATAAACTATTTTTAACTCTGGGCTTGGAAACTATTTTCTTTTAGGACTTCTATCTGTTGTATTTAATATGTCCCCTAAACTTGTCCTTCCTTTGCATGTCCACTGCTCTGTCCTACATAGTTATCTTCTGACGAGTAAATTAATCAAAGTCTAATTGTTTTTTGTGCCTCTAGCACACTCCTTGTCCTCATTAGAAAAGTATCTGTAGTTAGATTCAAGCTCAAATTCAGACATCAAACTGTAATATATACAGGAAAAAACAAAACAAAAAAACAAACGATTCGCCTCCCAACCAGATCCCAAGTTACTTCTCCAATTCTGTATTTTAATATTCCACAACAGACTCCCTTTCCATACTTTTGCTGTGTACTTAATCATTTCTTTGTCCCCGTTTCCTTTAATGATGCAGTAGCATTTCCTTCTGTTTGGCTTTCTTATTTTCTTTTTGGGTTTTTTCTCCCTGACAATTGCTATTCTGTTTTAAATTCCAGTTCAAATGTTAAATCCATTTTTCAAGCTTCTTTGTGAACCTAAGGGACAAATTATACACTCCTGACAATATGCTCCACTCTTCTGCCAACAGTGACCTTAATATCGCACTGTTTTCACCATGACACCTATGCATTTTTAAAGATGGTGATCAGCTCTTCATTTTTGTATCTGCAGTATTTGACACTGAGTACACATTCAATACATATACATAATTGCTTCTCTGCAAATTGTCTATTTTATGCTCCTGTATATGTGCATGAGTGAATTTGGCCTTTTGGTCATTTTGAACTTTTAAGCAAGAGTTTATTTTTTATATATATTTTTTTGAGCTTGCTTTCCTCAATAAAAGGGAAACGTTGACTTAATTCATAAAAACAGCATCTGTGGCTTTGGGGGGAAGCATTAAGACATTTTTATCTCAGCCAGTATTCTCTTTCACTTGCAGGCCTCCTGGCTACAGATGGGACTTAATTGCTCCTTAAATATATCTAGCATTTATGCTTATACAATGTTGCCCACTAGCCATTTAGCACTTCTGTTGTAGTTCTCTTAACCAAAACTCGTCAATTTTACTATGAATTCTTGTAACTCTCTAGCACAAAAAACCTAAAAATCAGTGGTGTGTTCATGAGCAGACATATGTAAGTGCCAAGTTTAACAATTTGCTTTTTCAAGAAAGAGAATAAGTTAAAACAATATGGTACATAAACTGCATTGAAGTTTGTGAATAGAGTAACCATTATAAAATAACAAAAACATATATCCACTTGGGGATTTTACTGAGATTCCTTCCTGTGTAGGAAAAATGTTTAGTTATATGTGTTCCATTGTGCCAAGGACAGACTGGCCCTTTCCAGTCACTTACCCTCTGACGGCATGAATAAGTCTCAATGATGGATAGGCAGTTCGCACTTTCAGTTTATTCTTAAGGATTAATGCATTAACCCACTCCACGTGTTTCTCTCCTCCTTTGACCATGAAAGCAGGAATCCAAAGGACACTGTCATTCAGCATGGAAAGTCTGTGCACAAATTTTTCTCTGTCACTCTCATTTCGAAAGCCTCCAAATGCTCTTTGTACAACTGATGGATTCATGGTAATAAAATCTGATTTAGTTCCCACATCTGCAGCAAACTCCACCACAGGAGCTAGATTACACCTGAAAAGGAAAATAAAAACATAATGGATAAGTGAAAAATAAATATGAAACATTCACTCATAAAATGGTGTGCATGAAAAAAAAAATGGGGAATGAGCATTTTTTAAAACCAGGTTAGGAAAAAAACAAACAAAGCAAAAGATAATCTTCCAGTTAAAATTATATTTTCATTGAGTCACTGCACATGCAGCAATACTGCTTTCAATAATGGTGTGTGCCCCTACTATAGAGATCACATTGTCACTTAGATTAATTCAACCTGTTGTCTAAGAATATTCTTTGTAGTTCTCTTCATAAAATCTAAAATATGAATTTATAATAAGTAAACTGATGATGGTGAATTCTCAAGGGCTCTGTTGCCATGCTGTAGACAATTTAAAGCACATGCTATTCTATAAGTAAGTAAAACACATTGGACTTGATATTCCAATCAGTACCATTTGTCGAACTTAAGTCATTTCAACAACTTTATAAACATAAGTAAATAAAGTTGATTATCTGTACTCTGAGGTTAGGTAAAAAGTAAAATTCCTCATTTTGCTTTTTCACAAATATATTTAAAATTGTCATCCATAGGCCAAAATGGGGAAGAAAAATAAGAAAAATAAAGGTAATATATTTAATATGACTTTCTGAGATTTTATGTAATTCAGAAAAGCCCTTACTATAAGATCAAATATCACAATTTCTGTTTCTTTTGATGACATCCACAAAATGCTTGTTTTCCTGTTAGGCCATATGCATCCCCAGGGAATGCATATGTAGGGAAGGGACAGGATATGATGTCTTGTTTTTTCCAATAGAGCCAAATGAACTTAAAAAGAACCCGGTCCTGATTTCATTCATGTAACCTGATTCCACTCTTGTATTATAATAAAGCTTTAGCAAGCACTTCGAATTCATCTTTAACCAATTTGTAATGTTTCTTTGATTCTGTTACATAGATCTTTGTATACTTGTTTTAAAAAAAATAGTTTATCCCATGCTTATGGATTGGTAGAATCAACATTATTAAAATATTCATACCAAACAAAATGATTTACAGATTTAATGATATCCCCATCAAAATACCAATGTCATATTTCAGAGAGCAAGAAAAAATAATTCTAAGCTTCATCTGGGACCAAAAAAGAGCCCTAATAGCCAAAGCAATCTTAAGCAAAAAGAACAAATCTGGGGGTATCACATTACCTGACTTCAATTATACTATAAACTATACTAACCAAAATAGCATGGTGCTGGTATAAAAGTAGAGACACAGATCAATTGAAAGAATATAGAATGCAGAAATAAAACCATTTATGTAGAACTAACTAAACTTCTACAAAGCTGACAACAATATACATTGAGGAAAGGAAGTCCTATTCAATAAATGGTGCTGGGGAAACTGGATAGTCACATGCAGAAGAATGAAACAGGGCCCCTATCTCTCTCCATGTACAAAAGTTCAAGATGGATAAAAGACTTAAATATAATATAACAATTCCAGAATGAAACATAGGAAAACTCTTCTAGACATTGGTCTAGGCAAAGAATTGATGAGTAAGACTCCAAAAGCAAATACAACAACAACAAAAATAAATAAATGGGAACTAATTCAATTAAAAAGCTTCTGTACAGCAAAAGAAATAACAGAGTAAATAGACAACTTACAAAAAAAGAGGAAAATTCACAAACTATATATATGATAAAGGTCTAATATCCAAAAATCTACAAAGAACTCAAATCAACAAGGAAAAAAAATAAAAACAAAAACCCCATTAAAAAGCAGGCAAAGTATATGAACATATTTTTTTCGGAAGATAGACAAATGGCCAAAAAAATATGACAAAAATGCTCACTATCACTAATCATCATGGAAAAGCAAACTAAAACCACAGTAAGATACCAATTTATCCTGTCAGAATGACCATTATTAAAAAGACAAAAAACAATGGATGCTGGAAGCAGGGGAAAAGAAATGCTTATATACTATTGCTAGAACTACAAGTTAGTACAACCTCTATGGAAAATAGTACAGATATTCCTCAAAGAAATAAATGTAGACCTACCATTTGATCCAGTAATCTCACTAATGGGTATTTCCTTTTTCCCAAAGGAAAAAAGAAAGAAAGAAAGAAAGAAAGAAAAGAAAGAAAAACTAAAAACCAAACACTTACACTTCAGTGTTTATCACAGATTACACACCATGGATTACTACTCAGCCATTAAAAGGAATGAAATAATGTCTTTTGCAGCAACTTGAATAGAACTGGAAAACATTAACCTAAGTGATGTACCTCAGGAATGGAAAAACAAACACCATGTGTACTTGCTAATAATTGGGAGCTAAACGATGGGCACACATGGGCACAAAAGTTGCAAAGGACATTGGAAACCAAGAACAGGGAAAGGGGGACGGGGTAAGAGATAAAAACGTATCTCTTGAGTACAATGAACACTATTCTGTGGACAAGCACACTACAGCCCTGACCTAAGCATTATACAAGGTATCCATGTAACAAAAATATTTGTACCCCCTTTATATTTTGAAATTAAAAATAAATAAATAAAAATTAACAAGATAAAAAAGAAACTTATTTTTTACTTGCTAGAAAAGAGTAGGTTTTAATCAGCTGATAAATGATAATTTATATTTTTAACTAGTAAGAGTTTACTGTATTGGGAAATCTTATTTAAAGCTATTCCATTTATACCTTCATGAAAACAGATGCACACAACACATACAAACACACTAAAAATAGTCTCTGATTTTCTTTCCTCTTATCAGCCTTTCAAGGGAAGAGAAAATAAACAGATTTCCTGTTTCTGCATTTTTGCAGGTTTAGCTGCATATGAAAGTTTCTCAGTTTTCTCTTCCTGTGAATTTTGTCACAATAATTAAATTCTCAAACAAGTTAAATGTTAATTAAAATGTAAAGTGTGCGTTCTACTACTAAGAGTGCTGGTTTATATATCCTTCCTTATCTCTCTTAATTAATATATATTATTACTTACTAGGTCTCTGACAACATTTAGCTACAACAACAATCCTTCATCTCAAATTCCTTATTATCTGGGGTAAGTTACTAAGAGAAAAAAATTATTAACATATAATATTATTTAGAAGTTATAGATTAAAGTACATTATATTTTCAATATGTATTTAATTATACCAAGATATTATATAAAAGAGTACTTATTTGTTTCTACATATGATTTATACCACTAATTAAGATATCAAGTTAAGAATATTAGAAATAGAACTGCCTGGAAAAAGATTTGCTACATAGGAACACGTCAAGGTGCACATCTTATTGTTAAACTCATGCAAGATTAAGGACCTGACAATTTCTGAAGTCCTAAAATGTGCTCCACACAAACATTCAAAATAATCTAAAATTCGAATCTAGCTGGTTATAACATAAATTTGAATATTGTGGGGAAAAGTGTATTCTGAACATCATTATTACTGACACTTCTTATTCAGGTAAAATAGAAAGAACATTCGTTAGCATTTCTGTTAACATGTTCCTGTCAGGGGAGATGGCTTAGACATATCTTTCTGCTATTGCAATTCCTCAGCAATTTCTTTTAGAGGATTCTCATTGTAAAAAAGCAATATCTACACTTCATTTTCTCTGTAAGGGTAAAAGTAACCAGAACCCATCTAGTTAAAGAAAGTTAAAACCATATTCTGCTGAATTATCTTTTCAGGAAAAACATTAGTTAATTGGTCTATATTTTTAGTTACTTTTTCTTATCACATATTTAAAAGTCCCACCCCTGCCCACAGGTTTGCCAATACCCAGTCTGGATTGGCCTTGCACCTGTTAAGAGACAGTAAGTTGTTCGTCAATTAAAGCTAAGTGTTGAAAGATGAACAATTTCCCATTTGGAAGCAAAAAGAAGTTAATAGAATAAGAACATTTCTGAAGGATAAGGTTGATCTAGGAGACATATCAACATTTGATGCAATTAAAGAATGCTAAATGAGTATGGTGCTAAATAAAAGCAGTTGAAGATTAAAGAGTACCTCAGGACCTGAGGACAGCCCATCCAGGCTTTGTTAGGGATGGTAATTGAGGTACTGAAAATAACAAGACAGAAAGACACATCATAAAATAGAATGTATGTTGGTTCTAGGAGTTCAGCTCCTTCATTTTCCTGAGAGAATACATACTTTTTTCCCCTGGAAAGAAAGAATAGTACCATGTCCACATGTGGCCAGTAAATTAACTACTCTGTGATTGAGTCAGATATTTAGTTATATAATTAGCTGAATGTCACATATTCAAGGAAAAGCATTAAGCAAGCCAAAATAACCAACCAGCTGTGTTACACTCCATCCATTCAGTAGACTTGTTATGAACTTCCGAGCATTACTAGCAGCAATATTGCTGATAGAACAAGATTATGAATGTATTTGTAATCAGTAAATTTTCTTCTTTATTTTCAAAAATTTCCTTACAGATTATCATTTTCAAAAGTAGCCAGAATGTGTCTCAAGCATTTATGAGTAATGCACAATATTCATGTTATTCTTAATCTCATAAAATGGAAGAGTGGATAATTTTTAAAGGATGGCTTTTTGTGAGTCAAAACTTTTGAGTGCATATGAAAATTTAATGGACTCAAGATCTTTTGTGTGTAGCCAAATTAAATTTCTTTCTGTATTGTCTATTTTTCACATATTAAAAACATGAAACAAATACACAGAATTAGCTGTGTTAGCCAAGCACTTTATTTACTCTATACTACCCAGTTCTCAATTAATTTGTGCTTATTCTTCATTATTGATTAAACATTTTCAGGAATGCAACTAGCTCCACTTGTACTCTAGAGCACTGAATTATCTTCTGTGATCTCACACTACATGAGATGATCTGTCAACATTTCTTATATGCAGAATTGGAGGTACTTTCATTTATTGCAAAGCTATATAAAATACTTATGTTAGAATTCATAAGGAAAGAATATTTACTTCACGTATTAACAACTCAAGATTACAGAATTCCGTA